TCATTTCCAGGGAAAGGGGGAAAGCTCACAACAGGAGCATCAAGCCTACCAGTGAAGAACTTCTTGATTTTCCTGGCACAGATAATCTGTGCTGGAGTCACGGGAGGCAACTTCACCCAAGGTTTGCCTGGCTCGTTACAGACAAAGTAGATATACTTATTAGTCCCAGTTCCATTGTCTTCTTTTGGGATGATAGGTGGGGGCTTGTAGGTGGACTGTGGTGGTTCATCTTCTTCTTTCTCTTCATCTCCTTCTTTGTCCTCACCCATCCCTTTCCCTCCTCCTTCCTCGGTATCTTCTTCCTCTTCTGTTTCCTCCTCCTCTGCCCTGTCATTGTACTGTACTTCAGCTATAATATAGTTCATCTCCAGGCCCAAAATCTTGCCCCAAAACCGACAGGTCTGGATTGGCTGAACACTAATTAGTTGTTTAAGGGCAAGGAATATGTGATAGGTTTCATCTTTGTTCAAGCCAATTCCAGCCTGTTCAAAATAAAAGGCTGTTTCCATCACGTTAGGTAGAGGAGTCTCTGTCTAGGAAAGAAAATCTGGAATTAGAGGTGGCGAATAATAAAATTATATCTTTGAAAGATTAAACATGTTATCCACTGAAAATCATACTTAATTTTCCTATAGTCCCACTCATCCTCTCAAAGGGCTTTACAGGCATTCATTCACTACATCTTCCAACATAATTTACAAAAATTAAAAATGCCATTTAAAGGATAAAGAAGAGAACACAGATGACTTGCAGCTTTTAGAATACAAGATTTCAAATTTCCAATTCACTTTTAATTACCGCAGAAGAAGGATTAAGTTAGAATTCTTATAAGTGATCACTATCTACAAAGAGCTTCAGTGCTAGGGTGTGACAGTTACACAAGAGGCCACGGTGCCAAGAAATACGTGGCTGCGTTTCCTTGTGTTTGTGGCAGATTCATTTGGGGAAAACAGAATACATATTTTATACATTCAGATGCAAGGTCAACAATATGAATGCTGTTCTTCTGGATACCTTGGCATAGAGCTCCCTGCATTATTTAAGATGGAGTCTTTTATAGCTAGTGTAAAATGTTCTTACTGAAGTCAGTAGTGAGACTCCAGCTGGCTTAAGTGCGAGCAGAATTTGGTCAATAATGAGGATTTCGGAACGTATTCGAAGTGCTTTATCACCATTTTATCATTCCTTGGAGGTAGCTGATTATATAACATAAACAAAAAGAAATTCTGTAAGTTGTAAATAGGAGGATAGGGAATGTGGAGGGAGAAGTGCTAGGTTCATTTGGAATTTTCCTGGCCCTTCCAGGTTTCTTATATCAAAACAAGCTAGACAGGAATATGAAAAATTCAAAATTCCTTTATGAAATGCCCTACTTTTCTCCACTGTTATGAATTTTTACCGTTACTGTAAAATGAGTAATAGTCCATGGACAAGATGAAAGAAACTCTCTTCTATTTTTAGTATTTGTATTCTGCAATGGCAATTCATTTGAATATATACTGCTAACTTCATAAGAAAATCAACATCTTATTTGTTATCTTTATTTATCTCTTGGTTACTACAAGAATTCTCTGCATACTTCATTGGGTACAGAGACTTCTGCATATAAGCAGCAGGATACAAAAAATTCTGTTTTATGAAGTGGCTTTTCAATTGTAGTAGTTCTTCATTATTACCACAATTTTTTGCGAGTTGGACAAGGAAGGGCTGGAACCACAACTGGAATGGCAAGGATCACAAACTTCTCCATCCTCCGTTTTACAGTAGTTGCTATGCACAGTATTCTCAAATGGATGTCTATATTGCATGGTCACTTCAGGTAAAGAAATGTCACTTTTGTATAAATAATGCAATTTGGATGCAGTATTCCTGGTTGAACTGGCATGTGGGATAGAATGTAATCTTTACTTTTTATTCCTCACCTCTAGAACGTTTTAAGATTTCAAAGGCTCAGAATGTTAGATTATACTCTAGGAAAAATTCCTGACTAAATAACTGGATAGTTTTTCCTCTTCACAACTGGGCCTGGGACCAAGTTGACTATGAAAGGGGTGCTCTATATAGTAGTATAGCTGCAATTATGTCATGACCATAAGAGGCAATACTAGCAGGGAGACCACAACTTTGCCCCTTCTTCCTTTCCTTTCCCACCATCCTCCAACTCTTCTCCCTGGTATATATGATATCTATTTTTCTTTGATAATAACTCACTATCTCGTCTTCTAGTTCTTCATCTCCTTCTGCATGTACATTGACGAACAAAGCTTTACACTTTTCTGCAACTTCAAATGTTGGAAGAATCTCATGCTCATCACGGAGAGTGTCCATTTTTTTCTGAAACTGAGCCCACTTCACATCCTTGCTGATGTTCTCAATTATATCTACTGCATTTGTGGGTTGTTCATCCAGGATCTTTGTTAGCATGTTAGCAAGATGATCATATCTGTCATATAAATATAAATATCATTGGCCCACTGTATAAAAGTATTAGAGGAATATGATTTTAACATCAAAAGTAGAAGCTGATCACCTGGAGCTTTGCAGAAATCAATGGAATAATTAGATCTAAAGAGATCATGCAGCCTGATGGGAAATTAAACTTGAAGGAAGCATGATTGTAAGATATTTAAGAGCAGTCCCCTCTTCCATTTTTGGGTTACCCCATACCTGACTCAGGAGCTGATGCTGAATTTAAACCTGCTGTTAATCAATTTTGAACTCTCTAAATTCCCTCGGGAATTTTTATTCTAAAAGATGCTGGGCACACACAGCTATCACATAATGATGAACCATTGCATTTATAAGGTATTCTCTCTCCCTACATCCTGGTATCCCTCCATTTCTTAATGTAACCTGTTGCCCTTTCAGCAATACTACTTTTCTCTCCACTCTTACTTCCTACCCCTTTCAACCTTGTCCCCTTCTCAGACTTACAAGTTCAGGCCAGACTTTGTGCTGCTCTTCAGCAAATAGGCTTTTGCATTCTGAATCGCCAGCGCTCGGGCATTAGGATCTGGTATCTGCTCGTCATATGGACTGTAGCCCGGCTGATAGAGCCCGTAACCCGGTTCATGCGGTTGATAAGGGCCATGCCCCTGCGTGTAGGCTTGATAGGCATCTTCTTGTACTGTGTATTTCTCATAGGCACTTCTTGGTTCCTGTGTTTGATAAGGGTCTAATCCTGGTGCATATGATTCATAGGCAGTTTGCCTTGGCTCCTGTGCCCCGTAAGAGTCTTGTCCCAATGCGTAGCTCTCACTGACGTCTGTTTCTGATACCTGTGGCTCATAAGGGGCTTGTTCTGTTCCGTGTGGCTGATAGAGGTATTGCTCCGGGGTCTGCGGTTGATAGGGCGCTTGTCCCGGTGCGTGAGGCTGACAGACGCTTCCTCTTTGGTCTTGTGCTTGGTAGGGGTCTTGGCCAGGCGCATGCGGCCGATAGACGCTTTCTCTCAGCTCTTGCGGCTGACCAGGTGCTGCTTCCCTTACCCCCTGGTATTCATAGGGAGCTTGTCCCGGCTCCGGCTGCTGAGGCCGAGAAGGGACCTCTTCAGGGTCAAAGCCCTCGTAAGGCGGCTGCTCGCGGGGAGCGCGGTCGCGGCCTGCTGCCGGGCCGGCCTGCTCCTCGGGCGGC